CACGCGGTGCGGCGCGGGCGGGACGGGTCGCGGCCCAGCGGGCGCAGCCTTGTCCGCCCCTAGCTATGGCTGCTGCAGCGCCGCGCGCCTGCTGCACCGTGGCGGGGCGTGGCGGGGCGTGGCCGCGCAGGGGTTCGCCTTGAACGCCCCTACCAGCGGGCCCGCACACACCCACACCGCGCCAATGTCACAGACAGACACAACCGGCCTTCGCGCTCCGGGACATAAGAAAGAACACAGTCTGGGTAGGGCATGTGGTCTTACCCCGCGGGCGTAGGGGGCACGATCGAGTAAGGCAGAGAGAGACAGAGTTAGCGAGACAGGCGTTAGCATGAGAAAGAAAAGGTATACTGAAGTCGAAGGAAGCCAACGGCCCGTCTCTCTGTCTCTCTCTGTCTCGCTCTCTCTCTCCCTTTCTCTCCCCGGAGCGCGCTCAGGCCCCGTTCGATATGTCCCTCCACTCCCGCGAGAGGTGCGCGGCCAGCGCCAGAGGTCAGGGTCTGTATCACATGGAGGAATGCAAACCTCGGCCGCGACGACGACGGTTTTCTCGCAGCGATATTGTTTCTTCCACTTCACCATGTTTGGCTGTGGATGGCCCGAGGGACGCCGACACATCCTCGGGGGCATACGGCCGCGCGCACCGCGCAGGGGGAACGGAACGCAGTTGGTGAGTCGGGCGGAGTGCGGAGAGGCGAGCAAGAGAGCAGTGTGTAATGAGAGAGGGCGGAATACCGTTCGCTTCGCATGCTTCGCACAGCCGCGGAGCGCCGGGCCTCCGGGCCTCTGGCCAGGCCGGCGGGGGACGGCGGCGCTCGGCACGTATCGGCGGCAGATCTGCGGCCCGCGGTCACACCGGCAGCAGCGGGGACGCGGGCAGACGCACTGCGAGGACTAGCACAAAAAGCTGCTCTAGGACCTATTGTATCTGCTACACCCAGACTTTGTATAATAACTTCTGTAAGTAATTCACTTGATGTATGTTTGTTTGTGTTGCTAAACATCAATAATATCAATTTGGTTGGCTGGATGGAGAGGAAACAAGAAACATCCTGGTAGTCGAGGAGTCGCCCTAACCTGCCGCACGATTAAGTGCGGCGTGACAGACGGAATTCATCCGTGCGCATTGCATGCCCTGAATTCTACACAAAAAGAAATATGTCGCGGTAAAATAAAGCCGCTAAAATCATCTTCGACATGGCCGATTTTCATGTCAAATTTGCAGAGCAGCTCGCAATTAACTATTTTATCAAATGCGTGTGTTAAATTAGTGTGGGAACGGCATGCAGTGCCTGTTTCCCCTGCCCCGCCCCGGGAGGAGCTCAGCGCACTCAGCGAGCTCGGCGGGCGGAGCGCCCTGGGGTTAGGCAGCCCCGCCGCGCGCCGCTGCTCCACGGGCCTGCCCGCCCGCAGGGGCCCAGACCCGCGCCCCGCCCCGAGGAGAAGAGGATGCGCCTCATTTCGCCCGTCCCGTCCCGTCGCGCCCGTTCGCGTGCCAGAAAATAAATGTACCTGGCGCGCAGTCTGGTCGTCTCTTCATTACCCCGGACACTTTGCGGCGGAATGCCTTGTCGCATGTCCGTCCGTCCGTCCGTCCGTCCGTCCGGCGGGCTGACTGGCCGGCCCCGTCCTGCTGCAGGGCGCAGCGGGAGTCGCCGGCTAGAGCCCTGCCCGTCCTGGGCGGCTGCCAAGCGGGAGGAGAGGATGAAGAGGACCTCGTCGAAAACACACTCCACGACGACGACGCGACGGCCCCGGTCGGCCGCGCCGCCGCTCAGGTCATCGCCCCGCGCGCTCGCGCTAACGACCCTCGTCATTGTGGCCGTCGATTGACTCGTCTGGCTCGAGCGCAGCTCTGCACGGGCGGCCCTCCAGGACACGCCGATGGATGGATCCAGCCGGAGATTTCACCCCTCCACTTTCCCCCTCCCTCCATTTTTCTCAATGCGCCACTCTCAAGCATGTACCCCCCACCCCCTCAATCCACACCCAGAGAGCAGCAGCCTGTTGTATTGTCGTCCCCTGATCCCACTTGGCGGCTCCTATGCATCGGTGCTGCTGTTCGGAAGAGGCGAGGGGAGTGGGGGGAGGGGCGAGCTCAGAAGGCTTCAACAGAGAAAGTGCGAAAGGGAGGAAGGGAGAGGGGGTGGGGGCGGCTGAAAGGCATGAGGAGGATGTGGGGGGCAGGATGAGGAGGGGATCCCTCTTGTCCGTAGGGCACCGGAACCCGGCGGCAGCGGCGCGGCCTGCTCGGGGGGGAAAGCTCTCTTGCATGAGAGGAGCACATCGGGACAGGAATGTATGCCACATCGGCGGGGCGGGGCGGGGCGGGGCGGGCGGCCCAGCGAGGCAGAGAGGCACCGCGCCGAGCCGAAAGGGCAAGGAACCCGGCGCCGCCGGCGCCGCCGAGCAGGAGGGGTTTGGGAGACGAGACGGCGCGCGGGTGATGCACTCTGCACTGCTCCGCAGCCGGGGAGGCCGAGGGGCCGCCGCCCCCGCACCGAGGATCGCTGGGAGGTCCTCTGGAGTCGCGGATCACTCTGACAACAACAAACAGCAGCAGCAGCAGCAGCGGCAGAGACCGCAGCGCTCTCCGGCTGAGAAATGAGGCGACAAGTCGGCATGACGCGCGGGAGGGACGAGTCGTCCGGACGACGGCACGGAATGTCCACAAAGGCGACGGTTGACGCGGCGATGACGAAGTCGAGCGCCGCCGCGGGGGATCCGCTCGCCGGGCGGGGCACGGCAGTGATATTTCACGAGCCTGGGCTCCACCGGCCCCACCACGCGGCGCCACGCCGGACACAAGAGATGCGATGCCGACGCCGCCGTTTTCGTACGCCGAGCGGCAAAATTGCGCAACGGTACGGACCTGGCCTGTCCCTGCGGAGGACGCGCACCGTTAAATAAATTGCGAACCTGCTGCTGCTGCTGCGATCCCGCGGCGGCGTTGACAAGTAGTTGCCTTGCCACCGCCATAACCTGCAATTATCCTTGCATGTCACACAAAAAAAGACAAAGCAGACAACACAAAAAAATACACAACCCGGAATACGACAAACGCAGTGCGCGGCAGCAGTCAATCGCCGTCAGCGCCGCCGCCATCGCTTCGTCGCTCCGGCTCCGTCGTCAAAGAATGCCGCGACATGCCGGCTCAAAACACACCGCCACCTGCAATGGAAGTGCATTTTTCATAATCCTTGTCTTTTTTCAGCCACGCCCTGGCCGCGCGGACAGGTGGGTATATGGGTAGGCGAGCGGCGAGCAACGAGATGGAGAGCACTTAGTAGTACGACACATAAGGCGGGGAGTGGAATGCGACGCTCAGCAGCCTCATCGCCGAGCGAGACACCTGCCGCCCAGCTGCAGCGCAGCGGCCAGCTGCGGCAGCTGTGGAGCAGTAGGGCCTAACGGCACTCCCCTATACTATATGCGCGGCCGGCTGGGCTGGCCGGGCGGGCCGGGCCCTCGGCCGCCACGCCCCGCCACCCATGGGTACACATGGATGCGTGTGCAGCGGCTGGGCTGCACCGGCGCGGTCCGGCCCGGCCAGGCCCGGCCAGGCCCCGGGTGGCATTGTGCTGGCCAGCCGTAAATACACCGGCCACCACGCCGGCTCAAACCAGAGAGGAGCGAGCCCGGCCCAGGATAAGGACATGAATCGCGCGAGGCACTACGTACCCGTCGCTCGTCCCGCCCTTCTCCCAGGGATGATAAAGCGAGCTGAAAATTATTGCAGCGGTCGACCCTCCTCTGCCGTCCTGCCCCGCCCGCCCCACGCCGGCCCGAATGCAGTGAAAGTAGCACTGCTGTGTGTGTATAGATATATAGAGAGGTGGACGACGTAGACAATCAATCAAAACAAAAAGAGAACAGAGCTGTCCAAAACAAAGATATAACGTTACTGGCTGGGTGAAATTTATAGTGAGTCACAACAGAGTCACGGGCATGTAACCAATGTAACCTGTAGCGCTGGAGACTCATTTTGCAATGTGGCTTGACATGCCACATCATACATTTTTATTATGCGAATTACAATTAATTTTTATCATTCAGGTATAAATCATTTAGGTAGCGATTCGTTCATTTCGTTTCGTTTTTCTCTTTTAACTATAGTGCTTTCAGAGTTTGTTTTTTAGTTTAAGGCATGCTCCGCTGGTCGAGCGCCTGGCGGGTGGGCCGCCCCGTCGCGCCGGCCTGCTCGGCGGGTCGGGCTACGCTGCAGGCGGCCTCTCCTGCCAGCTCCAGCTCGGCGTTACGCACCGGCTGCACCGCAACACTTCCAGAGCGAAAGAGGGAAAAGTAAATCGGGGTCATTCGGATACATTATCAGTGGAAGTCAAGGGGATGTGGTTATGGCGGCGCGGGGCGGGGTCGGTCGCAACACACGTGCAGGGCGGGGCGGGGCGGGGCCGGCCGAGCCCGGAGCCGCGGCCACTGCCTGAATGGCTGAGCGGCAAACGGTTCCCGCCGTATTTACGACACGGGGCGGTGCCGGGCCTGCCGGGCTGTGCGGTGGCCGCGAGTACCCGCGCGCCAAGTGCTATACCAGCGCCGACAGCACACCGCACCGCCGACGCGGCCCCCGACCAAGGAAAATTTTACGTGCTGGGGGAAAACGCGGTGGGGATGGAAACTGTGTCTCTTGATAGTGCCGAGCTGCCCGCGGCTGTTCAAGGCACACGCGGAGGAGAGTCGAAGGCCGGAGAGCCGCCGCCGCCCGTCTCGCGCCGCTTGAAAGCAGCTTGAAAGCACTCGCTCGCTACCGCGGCCGAAGCCCCGCTTTGAATGACGCACTCAAAATAACTTTCGATCTTCTTTTTGTTTTCCTTTCTTCTTTCGGTTGGTCTCCTTGAGCACCGGAGTGTCCGTCCAGCACGCGAGAGAACAGTCCTATTGTCGGGCGCGGCGGGGCGCGGCGGGGCGCGGCGGCGCTGTGTCCACCCACAGTAGCCAGCCGTGGCCTTGCGGCTCGAATTAGACCAGCCACTGCCTTTCATTCACCTCACTTCCTTTTCCTCCCCTTTACGTCTGCTCCCGACAACACCGCGAGAGAGAATA